ACATTATCATGCAATGTGTGAGACTCAAGATTGACAATCCACCTGCTTTCAGAAGGAAAACTCTTGTCTGAATGATTATTTGCCTCCAAAAGCATTAACTATGTGACAGGCAGAATTCCCAGTCCTGGGGCCAGCTTTGAGGACTTTAGTTATGACATCCAAATTTCTGCTCTTCCAGCTTCTGAAATCATGGTGCTCATACCTCAGTAGTAAAGGCAGAGGCCAGCTGGTCTATTCTATATGCATCCCCATTCTTTTGCTTGTGCTTATGTGAAATGCATGTATTAGGCCATCCATTATGCTCCTTCAGTCATTTCTGTTGCACCTTTGAGATGCATGTGGAAGTGAGTGAATTTGTATGTTAGAAGTGCTGCCAGTTCCCTGTATATTTTCCCAAGAGGGTGATTATCTCACAGTTTCTCTGTATTTAATGTTTCCACACACAGCTATAAATGTATTACTGGTTATTTGTATTGTTGTAGTACCAAAGAGCCTCGACCCTGGACTATGGCCCCATTCTGCTTGGCACTGAACAAAACAGAGGTAATCCATTTAGAGTAGAACAGGGTGAAAGCCCCCTCTTGCTCTACTCGTTGGGTACCTCTACACAAGACATTTCTTGCAGTTGCCTAAGTAGCTCCACAATAAAACATCACCGTCTACATGCGAGGTGCTGTCAGGATGGAGTAAACTAATTAACTCCACCACAGGATAGTACTGCTAAACACTAATACTATCCTACTGCAGAGTTATTGACCTCATCGCAATGCACATACAGACACTGTTGGAGCTGCTGGGGTATGAGGGTGCTTCAGTGAGGGGGCTGCCTGCCAGCTAGCCCCACACTGAAGCACTCTCATGCCCCAGCTAGCCCCTCTGCAGCACGTTGAGCTGGTTTGGAGCAGCCCCAGGCTAGCAGGCTGATCCCTGGGGCCCCCTGCCAGCCAGGGCTGCTCTGTCCTGGGACAACATGCTGCGGTCCTGGGTGCACGTGCAAATGGCATGCCCAGGAGCAATAAACTGTCGTGTGAACTATGCTGGAGTTTATTCAATCACCTTAATAGCAAGTGTAGACTCACCCCTTGGGAAGTAGATTGAGCCATTGAGCATCTGTAAGGCATGTTTCGATTTTTCTCTGAGTCTTCTCCAATTTATCAATGTCCTCCTTGGAATATGAAAACCCAAATTGGACAAGCACCAAATGCATTAATCAGCACCAAATGCAGCAGTCATACAGCCTTCCTGTATAGATATATTAATTTGAAAATGCAATTATATAAAATGTGAGGGTGATTATATACATGCATGCATACACACCATGAGCCAGCCTTTAGAAAGTGAGGCCTCTTTCAAGCAGTAGTCAATGTGCCCTGGGTGAGGGAACAGTCAAATATGACTCTCACCTGAAGCTCTAGCTAGATTGGAGCTGTGATTCTGGTTTCACCCATGTGCTTGGGTTGGAGCGTGTACCAACAAATCACCTTTCCTGCTCGCAGCAATCTGCCTGTTAAGCTTGCTTTTTTGCTGTGTATCAGCAGCTGCTGCCCAGAGACTCCTATAGCTTAAAAGTTTTGTGCATTAGGTAGTGCAGTTTGCTTGCACGTTGGCTGCCAAGCATCCCTTGTGCCACCCTGTGGTAAGGAAAACAAATTCAAATTTCAGCCCAAAGATTTCAGATGTCAACCACTGAGTAATGGGTTTGAACTATAAGTCTGGAGACTATATAGTCTAGTAAGTGGATGGGAGGGTGAGAGGGTCCCTTGCTGGGGAACTAGGGGTGCAGAGACTGTGTCAAGAGTCAGTATCCAGACTTGCAGGGTGCTACATTGGGGGTACCAGAGCTGAAGTTTCTTATTGACCCCCATGCATTATTTCATCCTTTGTGGGTTTATGTGAAAAATATTTAAAGGGCCTGAAATCTGACCTTTTCCCTTTGAGTGGCAGCAATGAATTCACTCATCTTTTTCTTCTGTTATATGACCTGTGGTCCTGAATCACAACCCTTGCACTTTGAAGAATTTAACTCCTTCAGTTGCAATTGCTCTAGCCTATAGGCAAGCATGGAGGGCCATAGTAGAGGGGCCAAGGACCAGATTTTCTGGAGTACTCAGCTCTCACATTTGAGAATGATGGGAGCTCCTAGAGGATAAGCACTTTTCAAAATATGTCCCTAGAATTTTAATCCCATCCACACATCCCTAAGGGTTTCCAGTCTTAACAGGATCAGTTCCTGTTACCTGTGTCTTCACCCTTCCATTACAATTATCTAGATACCCCACCCAAAAGAGATATTCACCCCCTATTCCCCTCTTGGCTTAGCCATGACAACTGTGCATATCACACTTCAATCTGTAATGGCTTCACTTTTCCAGTAGAGGGGTCTAGCACATAAAACATAAGGAAATAGGAAGACAACTGCTCCTTTCCGCTGGCATGCTCTCTTTCTGCTGGAGTTATTTTACAGACTCTCCATACTACACCGCAGCTGGTATTTCTGGACTGGAATCTCTCCGGGGTATTAGGTTTGGAATCTTTCCTTGCAGTAACATGTATATCGTTTCACAGTTATCTGTTATGTCTTGGTGTGGGATGTTGGGAGGAGGGGTGTCTCTCTTATTTCTCCAGTCACCAAAACTCCACATTAGGCTAAACCAAGCCTTGCAGCTGAGGAGTCTTGAATAACAAACCTGGGGCAGCTGAGGAGCCTTTGTAGTGCTCCCACATGGTACATTCCAGCCCCTTGCTGGTCTCTGCCGTCCTGTTCCGACTGTAAGCTGCCTGCTTTGTAAAGAATAAATTTGCCATGAAATTAAACTGTTTCCAAGCCTGGCATGTGGACATGTGCACACTCACAGGCCTGCTTTTGCAAGAGGACTTATGTACACTGGTCCTCTCGTTGTAGGGCCTCCTCCTCAAGTATTGTCTACACTAATCTTGATACTGTATTATAAGGCCATCCATGAGACAGAGCAGCTCACAATGCTCAGTTTTGTGATCTCCATGGGTGCTGTGAGTTTTCCAGCAAAGCATTTTAAAAGCCAGAACTAAAACACCTATTTGGATAAAATATCTCTTGGAAAGTACACAGATACAAGAGAGGAGAGGAAGGGGGAAAAGCCCAAACGAGTGCCGCAGATCAAATTCTGGACCACACAATCCTAACTGTTCATTTGACTCTGGCCAAACTCTAAAAATACACAATAAATAAAGTGAGCAGATAACTGTTTATTATTGCACGTAATCCAGCAAAACAATTGACATAAAATTCTGGACAGCATTACACAGATTGTAGTACACAGATTGCAAAACCTGGGGTGAAGGTGTTCCTTATGACAAGTGAAATATATTTGTAGCTTCGTAAGACCTGAAAAGTTTAACACCACATCTTAGTCAGCTTGGAAAGCATGCAGTTTGAGGTAAATCTGTTACTCTGCATCTAAGGAAACAAAATCCCTAAGGAGCTATAATATTATATATATACATACATCCACATGCAAATATGGATATATTTATATATATGTCACATAAAAGCAAATCTACCTACTTTTCTCACAACATTATTAGGAGCAAGGCACATAGCTGAGTGCACATCACATGCATAGAAAACTGGGGGAGAAATGGCCTTGGGATTTTTGAAAAGATCAGTTTTGTGCTCTGTGATAGATAAAGGCCTCTTAGGTCTCCCAAAGGTAATCATATATGTGGTTATAAAAAGCAGCTGGTATACTGAAGCTGTGCAGCTGACCACTGACTGCCAGCAAACAGAGCATAAAATGTCAAGGCAACTGAGCCTGGTGTTTACAATACATTTATAATTAGGAAAAAGAAAAAAGGAAGCAAATTCCTACTACTCTGTGTCCCATGGAAGTCCTAAGAGATGCCGAACAGCTCTCTCAGGACTGATACAGCCATGTGGATTCAAGAAAGGGTTCAAATTCTCTTCTCTTTCAACAGTTAATATCATGTAATTGCTACTGTGGCAACGTTCCTGAGCTAACTAGCATTATAAAATAAACTTGGTTCAAAAAAGAAAAGGGAAAAAGAGGAAAAAGAATTACTATCACTCCTCTATATCAGCATTTCTCAACCCGTGGGTTGCAACCAAAACGTGGGTTGCAAGAATATATGAATGGGTCACAAACAAACTTTTAAAATGGATTCTCCTTTAAAGGAGAAAAACGTGGGAAACCATGGGTTTTCCTTGCAGGCTGGCAGAGCTCTAGCTTGCAAGGGGCTGCTTGGGATTCCCCCCCCCCTCGCCCAATCCCACACACTGGGGACTGGAGGCCTTGAGTCCGGGGGTAGGGAGTACAGGGCACTGGGTCGGGACTGGCCACCAATGTTTACAAATGGGTCCTGGTACAAAGAAGTTTGAGAACCACTACTCTATATCACAATTTTAACTTCAACAACTGATAAATTATACCAAAACCACACAGAATTGTTACCTTCATGTCTCTAATCTGTACTAAGCTCTTCAACATCTGCCACACCCTATCTAAACTCCTTACAGTTTGGTAACTGGAAATGACTGTTTCTCCCTGCCACTTAAACATCATTTCCCCCTCATTCTTCACATTCTCTCATTTCCCCCTCCCTGCCCCACCCCCCGTGGGACTTCAGTATACACTGAGGTGCACAATTGACTATAAATACAGGTTTTCATTACCTGGATACAAAATGCATATTGCTTTTAAAAAGGAAGAAATATCTGAGCACTCAGTTTTACACTAAACTGTAACTTCATCTGTGCTGACTTTTTATCTTTGCACTATAACAGTCACAAGTATCATGGTGGAAGTGTCTCCTTCCAAAGGGATGTAGCCCTTTTGTAGTCAGTTTGTAGCTCTTTATAAAGACTCTTGTGTATCCCCAAGGCATTTAACTTTAGGACACCAGAATAAGGTCTAGAATTATTCCCTCTTTATTTTATTGCTGATCAAAGCCTGTATTCCGTGAATTTTTCTGCCACAGGGCCAGATACACTGGAGTCTATTGAGTTCCTCAGCTTTGTTTTTTCATGAATAAACTGGCCTCTTATTGTAATAGTTCCATACATATATTTGAGCATTTGTTCACACATATTTGTTTCACTGGACTAACAATGCTGGGATGCCAGGCCTACATGCCAGGATTTAGCAAGGGAAGGAACTGGCAATACCTAAAGGTGGCACCAGGTAAATCACTCACTGTAACAGAAACTTCCACCATTTTCACTGTGTTAAAGAAAAGGAGTTCAGCACTTCTATTTCATCTCAAGTTATAGCTGTGGAGTAATCTGCTGCTAGATGATCTTCTTTAATTACACAGACAACTCTTGGCAACAAGAGGGCATCTGGATGCTGCTTAGCCCTTAAATGGACATGGTCTCCACCTACTAGCATTTGCAGCACACCTCGCTCAAGTGAAAGCCCTCAGATTGGCCGATCCATCAAACATGAACAAACGAATGCATCCTGCTTACTGGTTCTCCAGCAGCATCATGTGCAATCCAGGCATCTGGATTGAGTTTGGCTGCATTTTATGCAGTCCAGTTTCAGTTGCCCTTAAGCAGGAAATGATTATAGAAGATAGGAGAGGAAACAATTTGCATTCATCACTTGGGGTGATAACTTAGGTGTTAGGACATCACTAGCATGGGTTCCCTGAAGGATATGTTTTCTATAGGAAAGTCTTTTCTTCACTGGGGGTCAAGACCTTATCAGTATGCTTAGCTATTTAACTAGAATTCTGTAACAACACAGGAAGTGGCCTGAGACTTTTGCTAATAGGAGAGATCTAATACTTTTGGGTCTGGGGGACTTGTTTGAACATCCCTCCCTGTGGCATGGCTATTAGGCGTACTCATGGTTATCATGAACACTGCATTATCTCCTCACTGTTATTCTTTGGGAAATAAATGACATTGAGGCAACCAAGGGAGTCAAAAAACACAGGGCACTTGAGTGCATGAAAGAGACTTCTCATTCATGGGTCTACAACTACAGAAAAATTCCCCTTCCTTGGCACTGTCAGGTAGCAGATGACTTTGGTGAGGACGCTTTAAGGCAACGGCTTGTTCATATAAAGGAAAGAACAAAGATGGGTTGCAGAAATCCAGGTTTCTTCTCAATGGACCAAAGAAGCTGGCCGCCGATTGAGAGCATTGAGGCTAGCAGAAACTTTCTTTTTAGGTTCATGTTTGCAGTGGAACCTGAGGTACTAAAGATCTCCTTAGATGTTTCCGTTGGGCCGCAAGTCTAATCCCTGCCAAGGTCTGTAGATTCCATCAGTGACAATGCCTGTTCTGGACAAAGATCAGTGGGAGAGTCAACAAGGAGCAGTATTTGTTCCCAACACATAACCATTCCTACTGAGGTTGCACAAAACTAGATTCAGTCACAAAAAATCTCTTACCTCACCAAAGGCTCAAGCCTTTAACCAAATCTAATTACTAGGAGCTGCCATTTTTCAATGCAAAGGATGACAGAGTGTTAACATATTTCCCACGTTGACTTCAGCCACAGAATTTGAACAATGATTGATAAATTAAGATGAATAACGCAGTGTTCTAACTGATCAGTTGTATCTCCTTGGAGTCCCAACAGGAAGGGGGCTTGATTTGCTGACCTGGGCTGAGGAGACACCCGTTTATATCAGCTTCAGGCTTGAGACTTGGTTAGGATTAGGGTTTGAGTTCAGAGTCGTTATTTTTTCTTACACAGTTGCAGCCCAGGGACTCTAGGCACCACCATTCAGCCTCCAAATTACACTTTGAACTGCAGCATAATGGGGACATCTCTCCTTCAGTGTATGTCTACTCTTGACCAGGCTGTTAATTAGGATTCTCTGCGCTGATAGGATTAACTTGGATGCTAATCAGAGCTACATAAAATTCTAACCAATATCCATTCAAATTTCCTTTGATTCTGCTTTCTTTGGTTAATACAAGGGAATGCAGTAACATGAGTTTGCATAAATATACTAGCATACAAATTAGGTGGCAACAATATTCATGGAAAAAGCATATTTTTAGTGGCTTTTCAGAACATTAGTGAAATGTGATTTTCAATTTGTATCACAAGTTCTTCCAGAGGAAGTCTTACTCTTTGGATCACTCTCTTCCAATGGGCAGAGGTGGGAGGGAGGTCAAACATACATACTGTGACTTGTATTCTATCAAAATCATTCAATTTTTAATGCTGGAAAATAAATCCCTAATGAACAAACTGCTGATTGAGAATTAATCATTCAAGTTAGTACATTGTTCTAGCACAGTAGTTGGTCTTCCACCCTCTGGTATGCTATTTAGGCATGTTTTGACTTATGGGGTGTGTCTACATGTCGCCATATGGCGACGTTGTTCTTGCACCATGCTTTAGTACTTCCTTTTGGAAGTACAGCAAAAGTTTTGTTATCCAGCACCCAGGGGAATGGGGGGTGCCAGATAACCAAATATGCCGGTCACCTGAGAGGCATCTTTGCCTGTTTGGGCCACCGTCCCTCCTGCCACATCAGTGTGCCGGGGCACAGGGAGGGTGACCCCAGGTACACTGGGGAAAGGCTGCTATGCCCCAGGCCATGGGGGCTCAGCAGCACAGTCTGCTTTTCCCCAAGCCAAGGGGGCTCAGCGAAACCGGAAGTGCCACAGTGGTCACTTCCGGTTTCGCTTTTGCCGCGTTGACTGGCATGCCAGTTAGTAAGGTGCTGGATAACGTGGCTTTTACTATACTAAACTGTCCATACTGTGCCATGCACACGGCACATGGTTAGTTTTAGCTGCTACTTCGCCGTAGCAGTGTGCTAAAACGAGGGAGCATGCCGCTATGGTGAAGTAGCTGCCAGTCATGTGTAGACTCATATGATCACTACATCACTGTAGCATATCGTACAGCAACGTAGAACGTCACTGCAGTGATGTAGGGTGATGTGTAGGCGTGACCGTGGAGTAATAGAAGTATTCAGTTGCTTAACAATCTGGAAAATCTTTTTTCTTTAAATTCATATAGTTATTCACAGAAAGTCCTGACAATGTATAAATCTGAAAACCTCAATCTGCCTGCAGACTAACTGAAAACATAAAAAGATATGACACATATTGAATGTATATTTGCTATGAATTATTTGTCCATTCAGTTAAGCTGGTCATTTATTAAATGATCCAAATTTAAATCTTTCTTTCTTCGAAATATTAAAAAAGGAGGTAGAGAATTTTCTTTTCCTAATATTTCAGTTCATTGGATTTATTGTTCTTACCTTGTCTGAGGGGCACATCATGTCAGAAAATGTACAAATAAGATGGCCAGACCAATATTCAGTAAGATGACCATGCAGATCATGATTGTGTTAGGTCCCTAAAGGAAAAATGCAAAGCAGAATATTATCCACCAGACTCAGACTGAGGACAGATATGATTACCTTGATTACTAACATATTCAAAAGAGATGGAAGCCTCTTCTATCCAAAACAGATGCCTAAAGCTTAGGCATCTAAATAACTGGCCTGATTTTCAGCACTGTTAAATATACATTAACTCCCAGCCTTGATCTCCTAATTAAAGCTCCTTCCCTAATTAACCATGCTGAGATTACATCAGATCAAAGCAGCCTCTGGCCATGTGGAAACAACTTACAAGCCTCCTTTCAAAATTTCATCCACAAATTATTACCGTTTGCAATTTTGTAGGTTTTATGATGAAAAATGAATGTTATTTTGGTTAAACTGTCCTCATTTCAGAGGAAAAGCTGTCCAAATTTTGCTTTTTCCAAATAACAAGGTAAATTGCACCAATCCCAAAGATCTAAAAATAAAACACGCTTTAATCAAACGAAATTATCTACAGATGTGTTTATCTATAGCAGCTTCAAAATGAACTTGACTTTTTTTTCATGCCAGGTTTCAGCTCGCAAGGAATTGCTAGTATAAAAAAGAAGAAATCAGCCCACTTTCCCATTTTATAATTTTCTAGCGTCCCTGACATACGTGAAAGATGGGAGATGTGAAAATTATATCAGAAAACACCTGTTTTTTCCCCACATTTTGAAATTCTGAGTTCCTAAATGTCATGGAAATGTAACTAGCCCAACCACCACACCTACCTGGCAACTGCTCAGCATGAACGACATGCCCAATCTAGATAAAATGGCCCTCAGTGCTTTGTAATCCAAAGGACTCTACAGACAAAACTTCATGGAAAGGATTTAGTGGTGTATTTCTAAAATCCCAGGGGATGCCAAAGTTCTCATGGTCTGTGTGTGATACAAACTCGGCACCAGCCATTCATTGCTCTCACAGCTCACAAGAATCCAATGTCCATGGCACGTCCACCAGCACATAGTACCACACTGACATCATATCCTGTATATTTAAGCTACACATTAAGTTCTTTAGAGCTGAAACTATCTTTTTTTGTCCTGTGTTTGTACCATACCCAGCAAAATGGAGACCAACTTTGTGACTGATGCTCCCAGGCACTACCTTAGTACAAGTAATAACTAACAAGAGAGGTGAAAGAAATTTAAATGACATGTGAAGCAAAGCCTCCTGACATGGCCGTTCTGTTGGTTTACACTATCCAGGTCACTCTGCCAAGTGACCAGATTCAAAACTGTACAGACTTTTCCGTATAATTACTGGTGTGATGGTCAGTTCTACTGAGAACAGCAATTACTATCCAAATGTTTGATGCACAGGGGTCCGAGCCAGCAAATGAAAGCATGGGATTCTAATGCTAATCACTCTGCTGCAAGGTACGTCAACATGGCTATTGCCACTGCATCTTCACTGCTCAAGCTAGCTAGACTAAAGCCAGCTCAGAGATGCCCATTTATGTTGCAACCACAGCTCCCAATTGCCATACAGACACAGCCTTCCTAGAATTACTACTCCACTTTCCCTTAAGATGCAGCTCCTGAGACATACAATATGACAGCTCTCTAGTGGTGCAGTTTGTTCTTTAACTTTCATGTTTCCAAAACACTCCAGGGCTGTTTACTCATTGATTCTCTCCTACAGAGCTATTGGCCTGCAAGGCATATGAGAGAATAGACTGTAAAGAAGATACTGGTCAGTGGTTATTTTAATCCATGTAGTCCTCCATGACAGGGGTCCCCCATAGATTAATATATAGGATAAAAGGTACATATGAGAGATGCCTCAAAAAACCAATGGTCCGTTCAGTTTACCTAACCTGGCAAAAGAAGGAAAATAAAATAACATATGGGAGAGGGGGTGCCATTCCTTGTGATATGTGATGTTCTATGTGTTTTTTGATGTGTTCTTTGAGTTTCTAATACAACTAGGAGCCAACAATTTTCATCACTGTCTAGGTGAGGACAGCAAAAGCTGTGCTTGCGATGGTGAGAGAGTGATAGGAATGTTTCACTAGGCAGGTGGAGGAGAACTTTATGTCTGACCATATTGTTCTGAGTTAGAGGCAGGGCTGGCTGCAAGAGTTATTGGGAGGCAAAGAACTGACTCTTTTACAAATGACAGATCTAAAAAAACATCTAGATGCCTGCCTCTGATCACATGGCATCCTGGAACCAGAAGCTGTGGATAACTTCTGATCCCATCTGTCCCATTTGTGAGCTGTATTGTGTGTGTAGGAGGCACTTGCACTTGATGTTACAAAGATCAAGGGAGGGTTGGTCATTGTCTGGAAGTGGAAGAGATGAACTGCAAAGAAATAATTCATCTGAATGCATGTTACTGTCAGGCTAACTGATAACTGGATTCCTTTCCAGAGTGACAATTTATACAGACACCTGACCCTATAATAACCATTGTCTGTCTCACATCTGTCACTGGGGCCTCAGACTGGAACAAAATAACTTTCTAGTAGCTTATTCCTTCATTAAACCCAAACAAAATCCCTAGATCTGGATGTCCCCCTGGACTGTGGGTCCAGAGTGGCTGGTAATCTTAGACTGGCATGAGAACACAACCACGAGCACCTAAGGAAATTTGGCTTCTGGTTGCAGTGTCAGGGCAGGGGCCTATCCTGTGATTGAAGGATCATGCAAGGTGGCGTGTTAGTCTGGCACTCAGGAAGCCTAGATTCAACCCCTAGCTTGCTACAGGCTTCTTATGTAGCCCTGGAGAAGTCACTCAGCTGGAGGCTTCCACAAACAACTAGTGATTTTGGGTGTCTTGCATTTGGAGAGGATAGCCTGGGAATATTTAGAGGGTGGGTGTTGGACCCTTTCTGAGAAGCAGGGGTTTTTGCATTGTCTCAGGTGGGACACCCTGTGAAAATGAGGCTCATAAAATCACTCGTTACTTCTACAGTTAATCTCTCTGTGCCTCGGTTCCTTATCTGTAAACCAGGCAATTTCCTGGAAGTCCTGTGGACATAAATACATTAAAGTGGAAGGCACACAGATAGAAGCAAAACAAAAGCATATATAAATACAATACAATAAAAAATAACCTGCCTGAACCATCAATCTGAACTTGGAGGTAGAAAGTCAAACCCCAGGCTTATCCTACATTAACATAAATTCATATTTTTAACAAGACATTCCATGATGTATTTTACCTGAGACTAGAAGCAGAAACAGTTGAAGATGAGAAATATTCTCCTTGTGGTAGTACAAGAGAAAAGCTAATTTTACAGACAAATTTTAAGTTAAAAAAAGATATGGGAAAGCCTCTAAACTTTCAAGCCTCCATGAGCTTTACCTTCTACTAGTCATTGCTCAACTCTTACAGTTACAGACCAATGACCAGTGTCCTGAACCTGTTCCAACTAGAAAGCCCTTCTTTGGGATAGAATTATTCCAGAGATCTTTCAGAGTTTCACTGATTTTAAGTGAACATCTAGTCTGAATTACAATTAAATTAATTTAAAATTAAATTGCTGGAAACTTGCTTCACCAGAAGTCAAATTCTCGAGCCAGCTTTCCTAATGTGACCATGCAAATTTATTTCCCAAATTTGTGCGTGTGAATGGGTGCGGGGTCTGCAACCCCCCTGCCACTGAACCGATACATAGGCTGCTTTGAAAACCAGCACAAATTCCCCTTGTATTAAAGCCACCATACAATATCACCTCTTCAAATTCTTCCGCTTCCTGTGTCTCTGCTTCAGGAGGTCCCTGTTTAGTTACCACCTTAGGCTCAAGCTTAGCCAGAGCTTTGGTTTCAGTCTTTCGCTCAGCCTTGGCCTCAGTTACAGGTTCTGTTTTTGTGGCAACCTTGTGCTCAGGTGGATGGTGCTGCTTCGGCTCTTTATGCTTGGGCTCTGGCTTATGCTGCTCTGGTTTCGGTTCTGCTTTGGGCACAGGTTTCTCTTCATGTGCTGGCTCCTGCTGCACGATGGGTGTTCCCCCTTGCCTCTGGGGTTCTGCTTTGTGTTCAACAGCCCTCCTTTCAGCTCTTGGTTCTGGAGAGGCTGATTTGGTAGGTGATTTGGGCTCAGGGAATGGCTCTTCCTCATAGTCCAGGGGTGGAGTGACTGGGGAGGTCCTCACGGCATAGCTGTGATAGCCTTGGTATAATTCAACATCAGGTTCTTTTGTTATCCTCTGGAGGGGTTTGATCTCCATCTGGTCTGTCGAAGTCCTCACGTTGCTGTGCCGGCTGGGGCTCCGGGATGCAGGTCTGCCATTAGCTGCTGATTTCTCCCCGTGTGCCAAGAGTGCATTGGATGGTGTATTGGGCCTACTTCCCCCATGACTGGCATTCCAGCTGCCAGGGCTGAGAAAGCCATCCTTCTGGGAACTTTGCTTGGCCTGCTTTGCTGCTGGTGACATACCAGCCGGACTCGGCGATGGTGTCTGGGCAGGACTCTCTTTGTGGTGGGCAGTGTCTTTCTCATGCAGCTGAGGGCTCTCGCGGGGGGTTGAAAGAGGCGGAGGTCCTTCTTTGCATGGTACTTCCTCTTCCATGTTTACAATGTTCTCAGCATTTTCCATAATTTCCTGGAGCAGCTTCCTCTTCTGGTACTCAGGGCCTGCAGGGAGAAGGAAAGCGACATTCAGCACTATGTAGGAGCAGCTGGTTGTTTTCTACCCATTTCCTGGTTCTCATGAGCTAATGGCCATGAATGAATAGATACTCCATAGCCTCTTCCAATAGTTCTCAGTGCACGGCAGCAAAAGAAGCTTTGTTTTCAGATGTGTCATCACCCGGTAGCTGTTTGTGCTTGCAGATAAATGCCCTTATATTTTTGAGCTTGAACTTAATGACAAGTGCAAATATAAAACACCAAACTACCTCATTCGTGGATGCAGACCAGAGGGAAGTTTGTAGTTATTAATATGCAGCACGGACCCATTTTTTACCAACAGGAACAACAGCAATAGATACCCTCCACAAAAAAAAACAACATAAAAAGGATCTTTTTGGGAAGACAGGCTCTGAGTGTTTGCTGAATCACATACATTGCAGACAGGAAAGAGCCTGGAGTGTACTTGGGCTGACCAGGATTGCTCTCGACAGTTAGAAGTAGCACCTACTCACAGACTGCAGGCCAAGACTGTCACTTTGCCAAAGTCCTACCCTAGGATAAATTACCTCACTCTGGGTGTGCTGGCTGATTCCCACAGCTCCCTTGCCCAAGGGAGAACTCTCTGTGCTGTTTGTCATGCAGTCTATATCTATCTCTGAGTTCAAGTAACTTAGCTCATGAACTGAAGCCCATTTGGGGCAGGGGGACTGGCTAATGGAAGAGGAGACAGTTCAAATCAATAGCTGGGCAGTGACCTTGCAGGCTGGTTGTAACCTGCCCCCCTTGCCCCCTGTATTTTGAAGGACAGTTCTGATTTCATGGTTTTTCCCTGTGTTCCACAAGGTCTGCAGATGTTATGGGGAATTTAACAGTTTCCCATTTCAGACTGGCATTCACCTTGGCACCAGCAGTCCATTTCAAACTTACTAGGTATCATAAAGAGGAAAATTTTTCTGACTCTGAGTATATTATTTTATTTCCTCCATGTTCTCCCTAGACCAATATGTCTTTTTCATTTTCTGTGCTTAGATAAATAGCCCTGCTGCATTACCTCAAATGACTGACTTAACCAGCTGGGGCTTTTGCTGATGATGGCACCTCAGTCCAGACAAAAGGGTAGCCTGAAGAACCCAAGAGAAAATCCTCCTTCTCTTAATAAACTTTCCATATGTTTACTTCTCCATGCCTGAAGAAAGCACTGTATAACCATCTTGCATCACTGGAGATTTTCTACAGTTTATCTAAACACCTTAAATCAGAGTATGGTTTTGGAAGGGACTGGCCATGCAGCGGACATGCAGTCTGATCTCCACCTCTGATGCTGCCTGTTAAACAGAAAGCAATGGGGAAACTGAGGCAAGGTATGCTAGGTGTTTTGCTGTTCATGCATTTGTGCAGGAAAAGCAAATTGTGTCACTCAGGATTGCAGGGACAGCACCTCTGAAGTGTCCAGCTAAGTGACCTGTGGCACAGAGATCTAGCCCGGAACAGCAGCGAGACGACTCGTTGCAATGACACAAGGTGACTCCAGGATTTAAGTTTCACTCTGTCCTTGTCTGACTTGCTGACTTGTCATCATCTCTTGGTAACTTTACCATGGGCTAAATTATTGTTTGTCTGTCAGTAAATCCTTACTTCTCATTAGTCCTGGGCAAAGAATGCCCTAACCAAGCTGACCTGCTTATGTCTTAAAGTGTGCTAGTGGGCCTCTGCTAGATGCCAAAGGCAGGATGCAAAACTGAGGGTACAGAGGTACTGTATCCCTTGTCCCACAAGAGTGGGATGTGGAATTCCTGCCACACACAGTCCTGGCTGTTCTTATTATTTAAATAACAGTGGTGCCTAAGCTGCCCCTGTGGCTACGTCCAGATGAGCGTGGGTGTGATGCCACAGACCAGCTTGTGGCACCACACACCACACATGCAGGCTTTCCCCGCACTGCTACTTTTCAGCACAGGGGCATTTCTTGACCCCTGGATCTGCTAGGGTAAAACCCCCCCCAAAAAAGTGGGGCAGTGCATGTAGCAGCAGTGTGTGCCATCCAAAACTAGAGCCTGGCCAGCTGGAGCTGTGCTCCAGCTGCCGGCCAGGATCGCTGCTACAGGAGCACCACAGCTGCAGCTCCCCAAGGCCCCCAGGACCCCAAGTGAGGCTGCTGGGACCACCACAGTTGCTGTGCTGTGGCACAAGGGGTGCCGCTGCTACTTGTCCCTGGGGAAATGCACATTCCCGCTTGTGGGGATGTAGCCCATGGTGTTAGGTGCTGTACATATATTTGACAAGGGAGAATCCCCATCATGAAGACCTTACAGTCTAAATAGGAAAGAAAGGTTGGGAGGGCAAACAGGCAGAGATCAGGAAAGCAATCAGCCCAGAGTCATACGGCAGTTTAGCAACAGAGAAGTAGAACCCAGATGTCCTGATACCGAGTACCGGGCTCTATCCAATAGTCCCTGTCACTTCTCCAGGGAGTCTAGCACAGCTCACTTCCACACCATATTGCTACAAAACTTGTCACAACAACCATTCCAGAAATGCTTAGGAGAACTGGTAGAGAGAAGAGGGAGTCTGCGGCAGATAGTAAGATAGCCAAAAATCCTGTTCACGCTACAGCAAGCAAACCAAATGCACATCTGAACTTGAAATTTATATAAAACATGGGTGTGACTATTCACTGAACTAAAGGGAGGGATCCACTGAGTTCACACTCCTTTTAGGTTCACTGTCTGCCAGTTCTTCAGCAAACACATTTCCTGGCAGTAACAATGAATCTTATGGGACTATTTGACAACATCATTCCTGTAGATCAAATTTTGAATTTGTGATCACAGATATTTAGAAAAGAAGCCTGATTCTGAAAGCTGTGCTTGGTGGATCAGAGAACAGAAATGTACCAGATGCTGTATAGGTCTAGTGAGGACAGCCTGCACTTTGAACACAGTGGCTGCTGACAGATGTGAACAAAACCAAAAAACCAAAAACACAACATTTTATCAAAATAGGAAGCGCGTTAGTTGGGCCCAGCTCCCCAGCATCTGTATAGATCACGTGCTTCGGCGAGGCTTTTTGGCGCTTTTATTGAATAGCCGATTCAACAAGCTATTAGATAAAAATGCCAAAAAGCCCCACTGAAGCACATGATCTATACACACATTGGGTAAGCTGACAAACTAACACGACGCCTCTTCTAGGCATGTGCTGTGCTTGGTGTGGGGATGCATCAAGTTCAAAGTAAAGTGCTTATTTGGGGGGGGGTCACAACTGTAAGCAACCTGAATATAGTTTGCTGCTTTTGGCCGAGTAGCTGGCAAGAACTTCTGGCAAGATGCACTTGGCAAATTGTTTTGAACTGTTTGTGTAAATTGCCCACCATCTTGGGGTCCTGCTCTGGGACTGGGGCTCCAGGTGCTCCACAAGACATCAGTAAGAATAATTAGAGATAAGTATATGCAGCTCATGGGCACTTTGGGAGCTGAAAAAGGAGTATGCAACCAAGTGCTTTATTCACTGCAAATAATGCTGTTTCCCTCTGTCATACCATCTACAGCTGGCTTTGATTAGAGTATCACACAGATAGCTCTAAAATACCTTTGGGGAAGTAGAAATATGTCATGATGTATGTACTCCAATGGGTGAGGGGCTTCCAGTTTTCTCATGGTGGGCTGTCTGGCACTTCTTGTTTCCCCAAGGATTGACTAGGGTTCAGAGCTTGGAGACTGGAGTTTGCTGATTTATTCCCTCCAATAAATCAATGGTGTGATGTGTCTCCTCCTAACTCTGGGCCATACAGGCCAACTCCTACTGAAGGTGGTGGTGGGGGAGAAGTTGAGACTTTATTTTAGCTGTCTTGCCCTTCCTGCACACTCCTGTCAATCAGACGGAGCCCCATCAGGGCCATTTATTTCTGGCTGCCGCTAGATTATTTGGAGACAATTTCACCAGTTGTTCAGTCTCCTCAAAATAGTGCTCAGCTGGCCCCCCACCCGCCTTGAGCTCCTCACCTCTCAGCTGGTGCTGTCTTCTCCCTCTGAATAATTTACACAAGCAAAACCAATGTCCTTTGAGGATATTGCCTCGTTCCATCACCTCCACCTTCTCTCTCTCTTTCTCTCTGAACAGCACACTACTAGCTCTGTGCAGTCACTGCCTGGTGAAAAAGCACTGCCAACAGTGACTGATTAAAATGTCCCATGCTGAGAAGCCACGGAGCTTGCTACTATGAAATTGAAACCATGCAAGAGTGAATACATATTTATTTCCCTTTGTGTACATTTCAGGTTCTTTATTTTATCCACATGAACCTGAAACTGCAGACAAATTGGGGTTTGCATTGTTTAAAAACTGACAAAATCAGGCTTGATAAGAGAGGGGAAACATTCTGAAATCAGAAAGATGGACACAAACTGGGAGAGATTAGCCTCTGTATGGCACTAGATAAAAATTTGACTTCTGCTGGGCCAGGTTCCTGGTTATGCTGCACTTACATTCCTTTTCAGCCCTCTTCTATTACCAGAGCAGTGCGATGGAACCCCAGTGTGCACAAAAACGCACGCTGGTGTGTGTTTGTTTATAGAAATGTTCTCCTGGTAGCTCTGCATCATTTTTATTTTTCTGTTCCCCATTCTCTCAATCCAAGAAAATTAAATTGTATTGAAAATTAGAAAGAAAAGAAATGTGAATGCTAAAAAATGCAAGAATCTGATGTGAACCTAAAGACACAGAGCTTTTTAAAAGTTTCAGGTACCTGAGGCTTGAAGCAAGAAGGGACTTGCTGTTTCAGCCACTGAGGCCATTTTATAAGATGGTGCAAACTGTGCTATAGAATCATCACAGACCCAAAGAAGATCTATATCTTAGGAAGAAAAAAAAAACCCACTGGGAATTCAAATTTCCTTTTACTTGTAGGCTATAAATACTCCAATATGGTTGGGTGAATTGTGGAGCCATGAGTAACAGCTGATAGGTCTCATGCTGGGATCAAATGATGCTTAGCTATTGTTAACTGAAGTGTCATACCTTGGCTCACAGACACGCCAAGGTGTATGGTGATTCCCAACCTAAAGCCAGCAGCAGCAGGACTTATCCTGCTTTGTAAGGGGAGGGAATGGGAAACCTTCCACCAATGGCAGTCTTGCAGGCTATTACAGCCAAAGACAAGATCAGACTGCAGGGAATCTGGGCAAAACCTCTGAGGCTTCCTCTTCAATCTGAAGAATGTCTCTGTATGCTCATTAGTGATAAGCAATTTTCCTTTCCTATTATGTGTCCTATTCTTATATTTTAATAAACGAGATCACTCTAGTCCTCAAGGTCCTGAAGTGGCAAGAGAGGTAGGGAAATACAGTTTAGTGATTAATAAATATGACTGGGAGTCACAGCTGGTGAGTTCTGTTCTACCTTTGGCTTACTGTAGTACCTGAGGCAAATTACTAAGCATCTTCATACAGTCAGGCAGAGAGGAGGGGGATTTGCTAGGGATAACAAAGCTAGTCAACAACAGCATCAGGAAAAATATCCAAGAGCTTGAACCTCCAGTTATCTCCTCTGCCCACTTGAGTACACCCCACTCTGGACAAGAAAAAGTTTGCAGAACTCAGGAAGAATTTATTTCCAGTTGACGAGCTGGGGGAAAATTGCTGGTATTAATGAGGCTTGTTTAATACTAAACATTTTATTAAGCAGTTCCCTAATGCTTGATCTCAGGAAGTAGCTCCTCAAATATTTTTCTAATAGAATAATCAGCAATGGTTATATTATTTTTCTTCTTATTGTTATTACTAGACCATGTGGAGACCCACATGGAATTGAAGAAGAGCCAATGGTGCAATGCTCTTGCAAAAAAAAAAGTCAAATCTCAGTCAGGGATGTATTAGTGGCAGGAACATATATATGTAAGACACAGGATGTAATTATTATCCCACTCTACTCAGCACTGGTGAGATCTGCTACTGTATTGAGTTCAGTTTTGGGCAATACACCTTAAGTAAGAAGTTGGAAAATGGGAAGGGTTCTGGAGGAGAGCAACAAGAGTGATGAGAGGTTCAGCCAATCTGACTTCTGAGGAAAGATTGTAAGAATTGAGTTTATTTAGTCTGGGGAAGAGAAGACTGAGTGGGGACATGATAACAGATAACAATTGTTCACTGTGTTCATTGGGGAAAAGACAAGAAGGAATCAGCTCAGTTTGCAGTAATGAAGATTTATATTAGATATTAGGAAGAACTTTCTAACTATAAGGAGAGTTAAGCACTGGAACTGGTTGTGGACTCCCCTTCACTAGTGTTTTTTAAGAGATTGGACATACATGTGCTGGAGCTGGTCTGGGCATACTCCCACCTGCCTCAATGCCAGGCAATAGCCAAGACGATTCTTTGAGGTCTCTTCCTGACTTACATTTCTCTGATTCTTTGATTCTATCTGTTCCTCTGGCAAAGCTGGATCAACAAAACTTAAAGCCGGAGTCACCCAAAGTGCAGGTCTGTGGGTATGCCTACACATCGCCCTACGGTGATGTAGTGACATGCTACATTGCAGTATGGCATGCTATGGCGATGTAGCGATCACATGGGTCTACACGTGATCAGCAGCTATGTTACTGTAGCAGCACGCTCCCCCGTTGTAGTGCACCATTACGGCGAGGTAGCAGCGAAATCTAACCATGTGCCACATGCACAGTGCAGTAGTACTTTTGGAAGTACTAAAACATGGCGTTGTAGCAACATTGTCATCTGGCGATGTGTAGACGTGCCCTGTGAAAGCTGAATTGGAACCATCAACCTTTGTAGCACGTGCCCTTTCCTCATGAGAGTGCATCACTGCTTATATGAAATCAAGCCTGGCACATGCACATCAGCAGCTGAGGACATCGTTGGACCCACCAAGAGGAAAAAACATAGGCTTTTAGTTCCATTCAAGTTAATTATGAATTTGTTTCTTTTCCTCTCTGTCCTTTCAAGCATCTGTTGACCCCAGGAGCAAAAGACATTGGAGAAAGGGTCTCTAGGTGAGTATATCTGAGCAAATTGGCCCACTCAGGTTATGCTCATGCGCTGTGCTTGACCAGAGAAATTGCACGGCACAAGCCTCTCTCACCTTCTGCTCCTCTTTGAGCCCCCCTCCCCGCCACCCCAGAGGGACACAGCAGCAGCAGAGAGATGTAGAAGATGCTCCTATACTTACCTGGCTGGTAGAAGTCTGGCGACAGCTCCCTGGCCATCATCCTTGCTAGGCTTGATTCATTGTTAGCAGCCTGAGCTGCCTGTTCAGCTCCTTCTGCCTTGGCTTTTGCATGGGCAGTCCTGGGGAGAGAACATCATTGTGACATTAAATGCCTTCCAAGTTACAATCAGCACTGCCCGAGCACATGGCACCAGCTCTGCAGTAAACATGGAAAAATTAACAGTCTGGCACCACAGCATTTCCAAATGATCCCCGGGACACATGGGATGCAGAAGCAGTGAAAAGTTTAGCTTAACCTCCTGCCAATCAGTAATCTTACTAGGAAGTTTTCTGCCACCCCCACCACTGTAGGCAACATTACAGTTAAAAACAGACATGAATTACTAGTAACAGGTGGCAAACTACCATCAGGCTAAACTATCCCCATCAGTTAACCCAAAACCCCCACCCGCTGGAAATAAAAACCCCGTGCCCACAGAAAAGTCAAACAAAAAACACCAGATTTCAACAAGTTATGTGCATATGCTTATATGTGGAATGTCTGCAAGTGTGCATCTAACTATGCTAAAAACTAAGGATACTGGGCTTTGAAACTTGCTGAGATTAGCTACTAGTTATGCTAACAAACAAGACCTGTGGGGACTGTAACACCTGCAGCTGCATGGCTGGATACAGCCTGCAAAGGTATCTCTTGTACCGCATACTTTGAGAGATGAAGGACAGGCTCCAACGTGCCAGAAGGAGCATTTTCTAGAGTTCAGGATCTGACTCCACAAAGCTCCATTGAAACAGCCTCTAAGCACCCAAACTTGGGAGGTTCTGGTAGAGGGGCCCCAATGAATCATAACCGCGGTGGTGGGACAGGGATGAATAGTGGCTTCTGGGATGTGGCAGCTGTAAACTCTCCTGGATTGAGCTCCACCTCTACAGTAAGGGCAGGAGATACTGAAGAACAGCTTTTATGTAGACTCCTTCCCACATCTTTCACCTGTCTGTGAAGCAGGGACCATGTCCTCCAACGTGTCTGGCCCAAATTGAGCATGTACTGAATGTACATGGCAATAAGATTATGTCCTAAAGGTCAACAGGAGCCTCAGAGTTACAATGTCTGGTACACAACCAGCCTCATCTTTCCTGCTCATCTTGGGAACAGATTGCAGATCCCAGCATGAAACAGGAGAGAAAATTTCCCAAGTTCTCTCCTGACCTCTCAAGATACTCAAGAGACTTTAATGTCTCAAGTAATTACCAAAGAAACAAAAGTCTGATTTTGCAGAACTGGCTCCCTTATTACTCTCAAAATCCAGTGCTACATTTGTAATAGGAAAATTACTGGGATGAGGGGAACAGATGTATCCTCTTTCATAATGTGGAGTCTTTACTCATCTCAACTCCTTTACAGAGCATCTCCTACTTGCCCTGTAAAGCTAACTAAGTTATCTGGCTGGCTGGCTGGCTGGCTGGGTGTCATATTCCTAGGATGCCTGGCATTTTGATCCCTGTGGCTTTACACCAAAAAAAACATAAAGCTAAAAATTAGGCTTAAAAACTAAACAGTCAGACTTAGAGACAAACATGCCTACTGTTTAGAAGGAAGCCTATACAAAATCAGACAGATTGTACATATATCACTAATCAGATATGCAATTATCAATCCACAGTCATTAACACTACTATTAATTACAACTCTGCCTTACAGTACCCTGTGCACTAGTTAAGTGACCCCTTTTCTCCATTTCACTGAGTCTCCTTCGGGATGGAAACCAGCTGGTGTTTGATGAGCCACAATGGTTCAGATATATTTTAGGCCAGGAATTGAAGAACGATGCTGCAATGAAGCTGTGAAACACAGAATATAATCATCACTGGTGAATCTGCTTGGGATTAAATGAGCTCTCAAGGTGCCTTCTACCCTATTTTTTATTATTCTATGTTTGAATTTAGTTGGAATAACCAGTTTGACCCCTCCACTCAACGAACTCCCATATGCAGGAGGGAGATGATGGCTTTTTGTCTGAAACTACTGCAAGTGCAAGGTGTATGTGCTGAAGATGTTCTCCCCCATCTTTTTATGGTAAAAAACAACAGGAAATTCCAGTTCTTAGTTGCAATGGCTATGTGAAAGAAGGAAAGACACAGCACATTCTTTAGGTCCAGCAGTACTGTAAAATAGCTAGGGCTGAAAGGGCATCCTCGGTTGTAAAATGCAAAGATAACAAACTGCAGCACACTATACTTCAGAATTCATGTAACTGGGAACATTCCCTTTTATGCAGAACACCTCATTCATCCTGCTGCTTACGTTTGCCATCTTCCTTGTTAATGCCCAAGCTGGTCTGTGTGGGATAATTTTTCAATAATTTGGGGGTCTTTTACTCCAAAATTATTGGAGCTCCTAAAACATTAAGAGGTAACTTCTGATAAGAAAGAAATATGCAGTGTTAAGCCTCGATTGTATGCAGGAGGTCACAAGCAGCTTGGATTCAGAGAAACAGAGAAAGCGTCTCCTTTTTTGGTAGCATATAATCAGTGTGATTAATTCCATTATAATCTGGCGAGGACCTGATAGTATATTTATATGCTTCTCAGCCCCAAGGAATTAGTGGGGGCTCAGAGTGTTCAATGCACATGGTGGGAGCCTTGGAGCTGCCTCCATCTTGCAGGACGGCACTTGCTTTAACTCTACAGAGCATGGCTTCAAGGACAAGAGCAGCTTGGTAGCCATTGGCAGTGAACTGTCATGCCTGCAGCCTGGGGGGAAAACCTGAGGAAAGGAGACATTAGCTCTTAAGAGCAGGAACATTTGAACCTGTCCTACAGCATCTGGAGACAGTATCAAGAGGCTGAATTTGCACATTTCAGATTAATATATGCCACCCCAGGGTACGTTGGCTAAAGTGATGGGGCAGATTCTTTGTTTCGCTCAGCATAGGAATAGAAACCATTGTGACTTTTCCATTCTTGGGCCTTTCTCGCTCTGTGTCAGTGTTACTTTAGGTCTGTCCTAACTTATGTTTTGGCCCTGCTCCCTTCCTCCACCAATGCCAGGGCTGTGAAGGGGGGTAGCTCAAAACCATTTCCTATACAGAATGCTCCTCACAGGCCAACTCTGCTGGGTTTTATGCACCTCTAAGCTGAATAAAGTGCCATATAGTCAAATCCAATAGGACTAATTACTGGTAAGGCTGCACCATCCAATCCTTCTTATGGCCCATGACTAATGAATGCAAAGCCCATTGTTGGTGAGAAATAACAGTGATCCTCAGAGAGTCAGACGTCAGGCAGGCATTTTCCTATCTTCAGCTCCCTCTGTGCAAAAATGAAGTTCATTTCCTACCTATGTGGACTTTTTACCATCTTATACCATCTAAACTTTTCCCAGAGCCTGACAAAGGGACTTTGATCCCAAAAGTTTGCAGAAAAGGACAATTTTCTTGCCATTTTCCAGTTGGTCTAATAAAAGGTATCTTTTTGGAACCAAGAGTTCTAGTTTTTTGTATGCGTGTCTTTTCCTATCTGTGGCTCTCAACTCAGCTGAGCAGTAGGGAGCCTTTCAAGCTCAGCTGAATGTAAGGTTTCCCTAGTCATTAGCAGCTTTTTGCCTTTAGGATGTTGTGATGTGGGATTAATACCATAATGGAGCCTTGCTCTAAGGTGCTCAACTTCAGTGGACTTTTGGGGGACTTAGTCTTTCTCTGAAGGCCAAAAAAAGGAAGAAACTTGCCATTCATGGAAATACCTTTCCCACCTTCATCTTGGTTTTGCTTATTAATAAAGCCCGGAGAGGCACTTACACATGGTTCCCATGAAGCTTGTAAGTGCCATATGCTGATTCGCAGTGGGGATGGAAAGGTGTAGTTTTCAGGGCTCTTCCCTGAGGTTTGGTTAACATGTACATTACCAGTGTGTCACTACATGGTATCAAGGAAAAATGGGTCCAGTAATGAAACACAACTGACATTATTCATAACTTCTTATCATCACGGATGTGGGAGCTTCTTATCATCATGGATCCCACATCTAAACCCCTGGCTTTGCTTTACAATGTTGAACAGGGTTCATACTGAACAAGGTAGATATAACTACCTACTCCATAAATGGAATTTTATTAAAGACCCCAAGTGTGAGTGTGGCAAAATGCAAACTATAGCATACATCATGGAGTAACATCCTATTTATCATTTCAGTGGTTGCACTGAAGACCTGCACTAGGCTACTGATGATGTTTTCTAATAGATACCAGATCTAAACTGTCACTCTAGCCTTGTCCCTTAGCACTGTTGTTAATGGGTTGTTCTGTCATTCAGTTGCTGTATTCCATACAAATAAATACATGAATAAATGACTGCATGGCTCATACAAGCCATACAAGCAGAGGATGAGGAAGGACTTTGATCAGGTGCACATTGACCTCTTATGTGCCAGAGTGGGCTACCTTCTTTACCACTGTGTGTGTAGAAGCAAGGTAAATGCTAACATTACCTAAGGCCAAGGCAGATACCTGCAAACCTGCTCAGCTATTCTTCAGCACTCCAGTGGTGGAATAGCCTAGGTTTGCTACACCAGACAACACGATTCCTGAATATGCTAATCTGATGTAAGCCCCCATTTGGTATTCAGAAATTTCCTACATAGCTGCTGTTATCTTATCTTTATCAGGCTGCTGAAGGGACTTGGGCAGTGGAAGAAGTAAGCTTTTACATCTGAAATTCCCACAGGCACAGAGAAAAAAGGCCAAGAAAGAACAGTAAAGTTGGCTGAATCGATCTGACCTGGTGCAATGACCCTGTCAGTCTTCCCAAGCTAAGCCCAGTTGGGCTGAGTCAATGCTTGGATGAGGAACACCAGGGTCTTGCAGGCACTAATGACGGTGCTCCAGGGCTAGCACTGGTGCTAGTGGCTGCATCTCCACTGATATCAGTGGAACAGCTCTGGAGTTACCTTGATATGAGAGAAGAATCTAGCTCAGGGGTGCTCCTTTTCCAGTGGACTGAGAAATGGCAACAGTCACATTACACAGGAGTGCAAAACAGAAAGTGAAAGATAATGCCACATCTGACTGGAATTGCAGTTCAGCTTTGCAGAATGTAGACACTGACTGCAGTTGGGGTGGGGCTGA